GACCGTGAAGCGCTCGTCGGCCTTGAGCCGCTCATCGAAATCCTCCTTCGAGCCAGACAGCCACACACTGTCCTCGAACCATAGAGTCCGGTCCTCCGGTTGAATGTCGCCTTGGCGCTTCCTGACGAAGACTGGCCTCCCATTCATTTGCTGGCCCGGAACGCTGGAGAACACAAATTCTCGCTGTCGCTTTTCTGCACTGGCCGGCCCCGAGCCCGGAATGGCGCCGCGGAGCCGCAGCACGCCGTCGTCCGATGCCGACGCCCCGGCGCTCATGGCGGCACGGGAGTAAGAGTGGAGAGACTCGGCCGGCGGCGAGGAAGCCGAGCGCCCCGCGTTCTCCGCCCCAAAAAGAATTCTACGAATACAATCCCTCTCACAGCAGACTGGCACGAACTAGCACCCCAAAAAGAATTCAACCAGGGCAGGTCTCTCGCACAGCACACAGGTTCGACACAGGTACCAAAAGAGGCACAGCCTGCGACGGACCTTTAGAAGGCGCCGTCGTCCTCATGGAGGTGGGCATGGCGCGGAGAGGAAGTTGTAGAGCGCGTTGTCGCGGCCGCGAAAGTCGGCACGACCGCCGTAGGCAAAGTTGACTATCGGGTCGCGGAAGACCTGCGCTTGTGAGACGCACTCGCCCAAGGGCGCGATGGAAAGTGGCAGCATCGAAAGTAAGCCGGGAGCGCTGAAATCGATTATATAGGTGAATCCCATTATCCAAAGTTTCAACGTCATATACGGGAAGTTGCCGGCAAGGGGGGGACGAGCTTGCTGCCTTGGGGGGGACGAGCTTGCGGCCGTACAAAAAAGTCATATTACGGCGGTGGACAGCAGGTACGCGAAATTAAGGTCCCCCACCCATCAATCACTCGAGCACCGGCAGTCCTGCACCGGCACCGGTCGGTGGGAACACATGGGGCTGGCGGCTGGGGCGAACACTCGAACAACGTTGAGGATTTCAGCCAACAACTGTTAGGGCTTAGGCGCCCCAAATTAACGTTAGGCACCCATATTCCGCGGCTTCCGCCCCCTTCTGATTTTTCGTACGAGTTCTGTGCGTTCAGGGTAGCTTTCTTAACTCTCTGCAATGTGCACCCGGCTTCAAGTTGCTCTGTGCGGACCTCGTGGCGAGCCTAGCGACTCCCCCCCCCCCCGCGCGCGCCCGCCAAGGCAGGACCCCGGTGGCGCAGAGAAGCAGCGCACTGGCCACGAACGAGCCAATGTAGGGCGCGATCAAGCAGTGGGCCATGCGAGTCGGGTAGGAGTGGGAGGGGAAGAGCCAGCCGAGGCGTCCCGCGGACATGAGAGTGAGGCCAATGTTGGCAAGCATGAAACCGGCGGGGATCCGGAGGGAGCGGCCGAGGAGTGGACTGAGGAGGCCGAGCTCGATTAGGACGGACTGCTGAAGCGCGCTCTCACCCTGGTCGCTGCACCTATCATGCCGGGCCACGGTGCAAACCGTAAATGAGCGGGGAGTACCAGGGCAGGGCCGCGGCCGCACGCACATGGCGCCCAGCACGCTCTCGATGTCCTCTAGCAGCTCCTCCTCTTGCCGAAGGAAGGCCTTGAGCAGCCGCGCGACATTCGTGCAAGTCCACACGCCCCAAGTGAAGAGCTGCGCCCTTGCCAGGAAGCGCGCGCGTCGCGCGGCCGCGCGCATGCCGAACGCCACGCGGAAGAAGTTCCCGCCCAAGAGTACCACGGCGAGGGTGGAGACGGAAGCGATGAGGTTGGACCCCTCGCCGTCCCCCAAAGGCGTCCACCTGCGGCGCAGCCAGAGAGCAGGACACGTTGATTCGCGACGCCTCTCAACGCGGGGGGAGGCTTCACGCAGATTGAGAGGCGGAGGCGGGCGCAAGCGACACAGGAGAGGGGTGGAGTCAGGGTGGGACTTAAGTGGGGGCGTGGGCGGGGCGGGTGCGCGAGCGCGGGCTGGGGTTTCAGGGGGAGTTTCGGGGGGGAAAAGCGAGCCCACACCCGTCTGCTGTCTCGGTCAAGAAGCCCCGCTCCTCCGCCGCGCGCAGCAACAAGATCTGGCACCAAAAGATGCACAGCGCGCCAGCCTGCACCCTCTCGGGCGTCGCAGAATACCCACAGACGCCCCCTCCCGGCAACGGCAAGCCTTGCCCAAGAAGCCTGTGGCGTGCCCAGAACCGCACCGAGCCGCCGACGCGCCGGCCCAGAGCGGCCACCAAGTAACCCGGCGTCGCAAGCCTGCCGGTCCGAGGCTTCCTCCTAGGCAGCGACAGCAGTGGGCTCTTTGTGAGGGGGCTGTTGGCCAGGGTCGGCTCGGGAGGCGACGGAAGCGGCGAAGGCACTGGCGCCAGGGCAGATTGCCGCGGCAAAGCCGGGAGGCCGAGCCGCTGCGCGGTGTCCGCGCGCATTGCGGCCGCCAACGCAGGGAGAAGCGGCGGGGGGACGGGCAAGTCGCTGCCGTCCGCTAGTGTCACCTCTGCGGCCGTGACGATGCGCAGCACTGCAGCCACTGCTGCGGGGTCGTTGCTCCCGGCGGAAGAGGTGGCGAGATTGGAGACCATGGCGTGGAGGACTGCCTGGAGGCGGAGGAGCACCGCACTGCGATCGGCGGCGGCGGCGCCGAAGAGGCGCAGCTGCTGCTCGCGAGGCAAGTCCGCGCCGGCAGCGAGGGATCGGAACTCAAGCTCGATCAGGGAGCCGATCCGGTGGCAGCTGGCTTGCAGCGGAGTGAGGGACGAGACGGGACGAGTCGATTCTCCCGGCGAGGAGGTCGTAGTAGCAGCAGTAGTCGTAGTAGAGGACGTAGTAGTAGTAGAAGCAGCATCTCCCAGCGAGGTGGAGGGCGAGACCGAGGGCTGCGACAACAGGTCGTCGGATTCCAGCGAGGAGAGCAGCTCGCCGAGGAGCTCCTCCATCTCATCCTCAGGCTGCGGGCCGCGATCCCACCGGTCCGATGCTTCCCCATAGTCGCCTCGGCATTCACCCGCGCCGCCCTCCTCGCCGCCGCCGCCGCCCTCCTCGCCGCCGCCGCCGCTGCTGCCGCCGCTGGCATCGGTGTCGGCGTGAGGATCGCACAAGGCAGCGAGGACGCGCAGAGCCTCCGAGGTGGTGTCGCGAGCCTCGGGAGTCCCGGCGGTCACGGCGAAGTCGCAGTTCGGGGAAGAGAGGGCGCAGAACGACGGGGTCGCGTCGTTGGTCGGCACGCCCCGGCTTCCGAGCGGCACCAGCTGCGCTCGCGCCCGCTCCAGGAGCTCTGCTGACGTCGGCGAGGGGGGCGAAGAAGAGGCAACCGAGCCCCCGACGGCATGGGTGGCGGCGACGGCGGTGGCGGTCGGAAGGGCGGGTGCTGCAAACTCGCGATCAACGAGCTCCTGCCTCCCGCCTGGAAGCATCAGCTCCAACAGGTCCGCTGTGCGCGAGACGGTGGCAGCCTTGGCCGCGGCAGCCTTGGCGCTCTGGGGATTTTGGCACCTGCGTGCACGGCACAGCTTCTTTCTGATACCCTTCCCACCGAAAGCGGGCTTGTCCTGGCACTCGCGACAGAGCCCACAATTCACCGCGCAGCAGCCGCTACATCGGTTGCATCGGCGCATCAAAATGCGCATCGCTTGGGCTCCTCGTCCCACGATTCGCAACGCCTCGCTAGGAGAGACGGCCTCGCTTGGGAGTGATGCGGAGGCCGGAGCAGATCCCATCGACCGAGATGCAACGGGTTTTTTTAATATCTCGCGCTGCGCTCAGAGCGAGTTCGCGCTGCGCTAGGCTAAGACGGCCGTGGGCCGCCGGGGTGAGGACCCCACCGGCACCGCTCCTTGGCGGTTCGCGCATCGCCTTCGGGAGGTCAGGCTCGGCATTCGTTCGGCAAGCTTGTCGGTCAGGCTCTACCTCAGGTCCTCAGCCCTCAGCCGAAGCTGGGGCCGGTCCCGTAGGCCGTCCGTAGCCGAGAGAGCCCCCGCGTCCCGGGATGAGACGTTCGACGGGCGACGCGGGCGTGTGGGCGTCGGCCGTCCGCGGTAAGGTAAGGTAAGGTAAGGTAAACTTCTCCACACACACGAGGTGGTGGGGCAAGGGGGGGCAACCCTCGCGTCTCCACGTCTAACGACAGGAGCCCCACGGCATTCAAAGTGCAAGGCCCGGTGCGCGTGGGTGAGCGGTGTGTGTGTGTGTGTGTGTGTGTGTGTGTGTGTGTGTGTGTGTGTGTGTGTGTGTGTGTGTGTGTGTGTGTGTGTGTGTGTGTGTGTCACGTCACTGCATCCTCTGCCGGTTCCTCCCGTCGCCTCTTCTTTGTTCGAGTGTGTTTCAATCCATCCTTCACGAAGCCCTCCCATGTAGCTAGCGTTCTTTGCGAATGTCTCGAAATGGCCAGCAGGCGCTGTCTGCTCGCGGTCTGTGCGGGCCGCTCGCGTCCTCCTCGCCCTTCTTTCGTCCTCCCGTCCCTCCCCTCCACCATGGCCTTCTCGGCACTTCTTTCTCCATCCGCCTCGCCCTGCCTTTTCGTATCGTGCCGTTCGCCCTCCATTCGGTGACCTCCATGGCTGTCCGCCTCCTTTTGGGTGGCGCTCTCGATACGGTTGCGTCAACCTCGACGTCGCTGTCGCCCTCCCCGTCCCCGCCGTCGCCCGTGCCTCGGTTCGCGTCATCGGTAGCGTCTCTGTTGCTGTTCCCTCGTGCCCCGCCGTCGCCCTCTCTGCTCGGGCCGTTCGCGATTTCGCTCCTCCTGCGTGTCGCCCCTCCGTCTCCTCCCCTGCCTTCGTCGTCATCGTCGCTGTCGCGAAAGCCCTCCGGCCCCTCGATTCTCTCGTCTATCCCCTCCGCTGCGTCGTCCCAGTTTATATCCTCATCCTCTGCGCACGTCGCGTTGGCTTCCTCTCTCCCCCTTTCCTCCCTGCCCCTCTCGCTGTCTGGGAGGTGTTACGGCTGGGCTCTAATGCGCGTGGACCCCCTTCCTCTCCCTCGCCATCGCGGGTAGATCCAAGTCGTGAGAGGCCCGTGATTTGTTCATATACAAAGAAAAAAATGCGTCACGGCGGTCTGCCCTGCTGCTGATAGTACGCGGCCCACGCCGCCTGGTGCTGGTGGTACGCTGCCCACGCCGCCTGCTGCCGGTAGTACTCGGCCCACGCATCCTGCCCGTGCGCCTCCGCCGCGCCGGCCGCGCCCGCGGCGCCCCCGCCCGCCTCGCCCGCGGGCGGCAGGCTGTGCTGCGGTCGCAGCACCTCGCCGCGCGTGAAGCAGCCGTGCCGGGCGCGGAACTCCTCGGCAGAGGACGGCACCGCATCCCGCCGCCACTCCGGCTCCGCGCCGGCGACGCGCGCAGCCTTGCCGCCCTGCGCAGCCGTGCCGCCCTCTGCCGTGCCGCCCTCTCCCTGCGCAGCGACGGCCGGCTCGACAGGCGGCGCCGCAGTCGCCTCCGCCTCCCGCCGCCTCTTCGCCGCCGCCGCCGCCACGCCGCCCGTGCCTCCCGCCGCGCTGTTTGCCGCGCCGCCCCCCGCACCATCTGCGCCGCCGCCACCTCTGCTACCGCCTTCGCCGCCGCCTTCTCCGCCTCCTCCGCCCCCTCCGCCGCCCGCTCCACCGAGGGTGAGGGTGTACGCTCGCTTCCCTCGCTGCAGCACCCTGCCGAGCGGACGCCCTCGCAGCCTCTCCCCATCCACCGCCAGGATGACCTCGCCTATTGCCCGCGCGGCGTGGGTCGTGGACGCGTCGTGGACGCGTCGCGGACGCCTCCGGCGCCGCCGCACCGACGCGCACCACGCCCTCCCGCTCCGCCTGCCCGCCCGCCGCCAGGCCGACGACACGGTTCTCTTCGTCCAGCAGCAGGCCGAGGCCGCCTGAGGACATCATGCTCCGTGTGAAGGCGTCGGTCGCCGCCTCGCCTTGCCGAGGCGCGGGCCGAGGCCGCCGCTGCCGCTGCCCACGCAGACGCGCCGCGAGCCCGCCCCCTCCGCACCCTCCTCCGCCGAGCCGACGGCGTCGCTCTGCGCCGGCCGCGGCGGCCGGATCTGCGAGAGCGGCACCACCGCCGAGTCGTCATACCCGTCAAAGCGGAGCGTCGCGGTCCTACCAGCATGACGATGAGCGCTCATCGTCATCATCATCGGAGCGTCGCGGTCCTGCGTTGTGGGCCGCTGAGTCGGGGCGTGAACATAGCCGAAGCAGCATGTGTGTACACATACCTGGGTATGTCCTCAACAGCGCTGCTCGACATGCACGGGTCTGTGGTCAGCATCTACCGTCGCGGTCCCGCGCGTGGCGTCGACTGCGAGGACGCTGGCAGAGTGCCACCGTCGGCTGCTCCCCGACCACTTTGCCTCCACCACGTCGCCGAGGCGGACCGAGAACGGAGGGGCGATCGCCTCGCCGCCCGCCTCGGCCGCGCCGCTGCCGTATCTTTCAATGAAGCTTTGCTGTTTGTGCTTCGCGTCCCACTCGCGACGCGCGCCGGCATCGAGCAGCAGGGCGCTGGCCGCCTCGACCGCCTCGAAGGCGGCCGCTGCTCCGGCGCAGCCCATCGCCTTGTCCGGGTGCACGAGCAGGACCGCGGTGCGAAACGCCTTCTTGACGTCGGCCGCACTCGCGTCGCGCTTGAGCTGCAGCACGGCGTACGGGTCCGGCGCGGCGGCCAGCGCCGACGCGATGCGGAGCGCGCTCATGGCGGACGCCCTCCAGCGCGAGCGAGGCGGAGAAGAGCAGCGAGACGGCCGCGGGCGCGAGCAATGTCGGCGGATTTTGGTGTCGGCGCGTGCTAGAAAAAGAATTTTAGTAGGCAAGCCCCTATCACAGCAGACTGGCTCGGACTGGAGAAAAAGAATTGAAATACGACCTGTCTAGCTCGACACGTGCTAGAAAAAGAATTTAACGGCATAGTACTCCAGTCGTGGTCCCATTCAGACGGACCTGCGCTCCCTCGTGTCATTTCTTTCATGAGGCCTTCAATAGATCAACCTCTCCTCTTTGTGTTAAATGAACTCGGGGGCACAGGACGCGGTACAAACGGGGTACACCAAAAGGCACAGGCTGCCTGCACGGCGTTCACTCGAACGCCATGCACATGGCGCGGAGCAGCATCGGGTTGGTGTCGAACCCGAGCGGGTCCTCCTCCCAGTCCCGGTGCCCACCCTCCGCGTCATCCTGCTCATCGTGCGCGTCGAGCACCCTGCCGAGGCACAGGACCGTCCCCTTGGGAACGCCTGCCCCTCGCGCGCGCGGGAACTCTCCCTGCACCGCCATCACGAACTTCTCGCGCGCCCACTTGCCGCCACGGCGGCAGTGCTGGGGCGCGCGCTCGCGCAGCTCCTCGTAGAGCTCCTCGGCCCTCGCCACCTCCGCCGCCCAGCCCTCCGCTGACGCCTGAGCCGCCTTCTTCTCCCTGAGCGTCTTGAACACCGGCGGCGGCGCCGGCGATGGCGCCACCTCCGGCTCGCCCGCCGCCTCTGCAGCGCGCCGCCCCTTCCTCGCCTTCTCCTTGAGCCGCTTCCTAGCGCTCTTGGTCAACGCCGGCGCCGCCGCCGCGGCCTCGCCGGCCGCCGCACCGGCGATGGATGTCGAGGATGATGAAGGTGATGAAGCCGTTGTCGCGTTGCATGACCTCGTCGCACACCGCGCGACCTTCACCTTGTGTCGCACGCAATGCCGTAGACGCGCCAGCTCGCAATAGCTGCCGTACTCGCAACCTCAACTAATCCGTCGCCCTTTCCTGTTTTGGCGTAGGGAAATCAAGCGGCGGTGCATGAGCAATTTTCAGTCTCACACACGTCTGAGCACACGCACACGCAGAAACACGGGGCACACACGCACACGCACAAGAAACATACGGGGCACACGCACACGCAGAAACACGGGGCAGACGCACACGAGGCGTTCACTTCTGTGCGATCTCAGGAGAGGGTTGTGCAGAGGCAACAGTATAGCGAGCCGAATCTCGGTCGAGCGAGGTGTGATCACATCGCTCACGACCTCGCAAGCGCCCGTAGCGTGGTGTCCATAGCCGCATTGTCCTCGCCGTGCTCTCTGGTTTAGTGCGCGCGATACGCAGGGAGGGCGGCTTTCCTCTCTAACATAGCAAATAAGGCGTCGGGCCGACGCCTGTCATGCAGCGTCTGGCGCCAAGTGGAGCGATCGGCGGCGATCTCGGGCCTCGAGTTCGGGCCACCTCGAGCGGTCGACGGGCGCTGCGGATGCAGCGCCCGTACGACATGTTGGGGCATCCGATCGGCCGGTCGTGGGGGGCACCCATGAGCTACGACGAGAGCATGCGACGAGGACGCGATTGGAGTCCACCCTGCTGATATGCCCGAGCCAGTCCAGCCGGCGTCGGGTCGTAGTAGTCGATGAATCGAGGCCTAGCCTCCTTGGCTCGACTCATGATAAACTGCCGCATGGAGCCCGCGGTGGCGAAGGGTGTGCACGCGATAAAGAGGCGGCATACTCGCCCATCGCATCACCCGGTGAAGAGTGGTTCAGCTTGCACCTACAAATGTGGGCACCACGACGCGCCTCTGTACCACGACGCACGAGGGCAGGATGCGGCCTTTGCAACGGCACAGCGGTGCACTACCACCTATGTCCTTGTGTCCATCGTGCTGCTCCTGCGTCTGGCGCCGTTTGTGACGCCGCCAGCGCGCGATTTTACGCTCCGCATTTACCTGCGCCGCTGCGCCGTCGCATGCATTCCCCTCTTGCGTTCTGCATTGCCTCATGCCTTCTCCGCATTGCGCACGACGTCATTGCCTCTCACCAGGCAAACTTGCAGCGCCTATGAGATTATTATGCGATATCTGACTTCATCTATCGTGGCTGCTGTCTGCACTCCTCCTCCACTCCCTCCTCCACCACTGCCATTGCCATCGCTACTGCCATTGCCGTCAATCAACCAATGCCATCGCCGCGCCTGCGGCAGAGTGCCGGCACAATCAACCACGCAAGCAGCGACAGCTCGAGAGCATGGGCGAGCCCTATGTAAGCTGCCACGGGAGTAGGCGCCTTCCGCCGCGCCGAAACAGTAATTGGACTGAAGCGACAAAACTGCGCACTGAAGCGACAAAACTGCGCACTGAAGCGACAAAAATGCGCACCGGAGCGACAAAAATGCGCACCGGAGCGACAAAAATGCGTGCCGGAGCGACAAAAATGCGTGCCGGAGCGACAAACTTGGTTTGACGATGACGCCGGTCGCTTGCAGGCCTCTGTCCGCAGCGGCTCAGGCCTCCTCGGCCGTCGCAGCTCGCCCGTCTCCTCGCCTCCCCGCAGGGTCCATTCATCGCGCTGGCTGCAATCTCCGCCGGGCCAAAAGCCGCGCCACCACGAGTCGCCATCGGCAGCTCGGACTGCGCTAATAGTACCCAGCAGCCTCTGCAGACTTGCTTCTCCCACGGAGGCAGCCGTCACCACCACTACATTGGTATCACGCTGCTGCAAACGATAGATCACAGGTGTGTTGTGCATCTCAGCGTGCTGGCTGCCATCACGCATGCACCCGCTGCTGATCGTTTGTGCCGTGACATTTCACGCCGCGGTTGCTATCTCTGCCTTCGGTGCAGCTACGCTGCCTTCGCTTTCGCCACTGCTGCATTGCAACATTTGCCAGTGGCGCGACCGCTCCGCACTTGGAGCCGAGGCTCATTCCTCAAGCCTCGCTGGCGTCATTCACCAAAACTTCTGGGTCGCGGACACGACTGCCTCATTCACCAATACCTTAAGGTACTTCAAGACGGCTCGTTTCTTGCACCCGCTGTGTCCACTTCCCACCCCCTCGCCACGGCCATCATCATCGCTACCACTGTGCCACGTCGCAACCGCCCCACCTGCCACCGATCATGCCGCTGCGGCTTAGCTTTCATAGGTGCCGTTGCCACCGCGTTCATTCTGGCCACATCGCCTCCGCCACCGCACGTTGATCATCGCCGTGCCGCCGACGTCCAAGCCGACGTCCAAGCCGTCGTCGCTCTCGCCGCTCCCGCCTCACGATGGTTTGGGCGATCTCGCTCTCCCGCCTCCTGGGGATGCCTGGCCTCTAGTGCGCTACTCGAGTGGGCTCTCTGTTCAAAATATTGCCAAATTACGCACACATGTGCGCAGATAAACATCCTTAGAGTGCCACACACACACACTCCACGTGCGAATGTTCGGGTCGTCAACCGAGCTAACCGCGCCCCCCCGGGGGGGGGCCACGAGCGCGGGGCTATCGGCTGGACGTGGTCACGGGGGGAGTGTTGCACACGCGACACGGCACACCCAGCACGCGGTGCGGCCACTCCCACGCCGGCGGGGGCGCACGCGGTGTGATGTTTGTATCTTATTTGCTCGCAAAATGACAAGTTTGCGTGCAAATTTGCTGCAAATTTGACATTTCAAATCCATAAGAGTGACACTATGGATTCCGGGTGACACAGGTTGGAGGGAGTGGGGTGCAGGTTGCTCACCCACGGCACCGGGCCGGTGCTTGCACTTTGAATGCCGTGGGGCTGCTGCCCGTGTCCGGGCGTCGGTGGAGATGCGAGGGTCTCGCCCCCCCTTGCCCCACCACTTTGTGTGTGTGGAGACGTAAATACCTTAGGGGACTCCTAGGGTTCTGAGGGCCGGATGTTTTTAAGACCTTTTAAGAAACGAGGAGGTTTGGGGGCTTAACTTGCCATTTAAGAGATTGCAGGCACGGGGGGCCCCTCTTTTAAGACCGTTTAAGAAAATCGGCCTCGCCGGCACGCGTCGCTGGGTTCCGCGCCATTTTCTCCAATACTGCCGTTATTAGGCACAAACCCGCCTCTGAAGACACACCTGTGAGTCTGGTGCACTGGCAGGAGCCATACTCGCATAGGGGACGCGTGCTAGCTGACTGTAGCCAGCTTCCCGGCCTCCGGCGTGTCTACCGGGAGCCTCCCGGACCATCGACCTCGGGAGCTCTCCCGCACCGTTTAAGCGTTTAAGACCATTTAAGGAATTGGCGGCCCAGCAGCTCTTAAAACTTGCCATGGCAAGCTTTAACGAGCCGTTTAAGCCGTAGGCGCCCCAGGGCCCACCCTTTTAAGCCTAGGCCCGTACCATGCGGAATCGACCCTATCCAGTGCTCAAGTGCTCAAGCCTAGGCCCCGGGGGTCCCCTAGAGTACGGTTTTACCTTACTTCGTTACCTTACGCTTACCTTACCTAGAACGACATACGGTGTATCGCCGATTGGGAAAATACGAAACGTTCAAAGTATTCCGCGGTACACTTCTCTCTCTACACCACATCTCGAACCTTTTTTCCGGAACGCCACCGCGACCAAGTAGCCCGCACCCTCGCATGGGGTGCCCTCGAGCGCCGCCTGGCCTGCCTCCAGCAGCTCCGCCGACACCTCCTAAGGTAAGGTAAGGTCAACGTCTCCACACACACAACATGGTGGGGCAAGGGGGGGCGACCCTCCTCCAGCAGCACACGCTCGTATCCGCCGTGGTCCCCGTTGAGCGAGTACACGCCTTTGCCGTGGCCGAGGTCGCCAATCAGCACGTACTCGTCCACGCCCGCTGCGCGCCACGCGGGGGTCCAGTCCTCGCCGGCCGTCATGAAGGCGCAGAGGACGAGCGCCGGGCGGTGCCTCGCGATCGCCTCGCCGTCGCGCATCGCCTCGACGCCGCCGAGACCGTCGCCAAAGCCGGGGCCGAAGAGGGCCTCCTCCGACTGTGCGTACCCCTCCGGGAAGGGCTCGGTCGCGACGAGCGGCGGCGAGAGGCGGCCGGTCGCGTTGAGCAAGCGGGCGAGGTGGCCCGAGCCTGCGCCCACCTCCACCACCTAGAGGCGCGGGGGGAGGCACTCTCAGCGGGATCCGCGCGCCGCGCGCGCCGCAAGCCGCCCTCGGAGCCCGCGCCGGCCGGAGCGGCCCATCTCGGCCTCGCTGGATCTGCCGCTGCCGCCGCTGAAGGTAGGTCGCCAGGGCGTCGACCGCCTCGCGCGTGGGGGCGAGGGCAAAGTGCACCGTCGACCGGACGAACCAGGCGAACGGGGAGGCCCAGCCGCGCGCCATGAGCGGGTTGGAGGGGGCACCGTACACGAGGCGCTGCCTGTACGAGGCAAGCGAGGAGGCTGGTGAGCCCGGCTGGGGCTGGTGGCGGTCCGCACCCGCCGCAGCAGCGGGCACAGCAGCACGAGGGTGTCGTGGAGGGAGAGGGCAGCGAGGGAGCCGCCTGGTGCGCAGAGGCGGGCGGTCTTGGCGGGCGAGGGAGAGGAGGGGGGCGCGCAAGGTCGGGGTGCGGCGCCTGCCGCTCGCACGGCGTCAAGGAGTCGCGACGCCTCGCTGCCCTCGTCGTCGCGCCCACGCGGCGCGGGCCACCGGCCGGGCCGAGGCAGCCGCAGCCCAAACGCGGCCGCCCAGCTCGCGCGCGGGTGCGCCATCTTGCGGTCCCGCAGAGCAGCGAGGCGCGACGGGTCGATGCGCCGCGCGCGGATGCCGTCCGTGGTGAGGGCGGCGAGGTAGAGGGTGGAGAGCTGGCCGAGTCGGTTCTCGTCCACCTGCGAGGGGCGGGGAGGCGGGATGGTGGGGAGGGGCCGCGAGGCGGCGGGAGGGGGAGGAGGAGGAGGAGGAGACGTCGTGCAAGCGTGCTGCAACGGGAGGCGTGGGCGCGGACTGCGCGTGCCGCCGCTGCCTTTGCCAGCTCCTCGAGCCGGCCGCGCGGCGCGACGAGCCGCTTGAGCGCGCAGAGGATCGGAGGCAGCTCAAAGGAGGAGAGGAGCAGCCGCAGCCTCGTGAGGAACCGCGCCGCCGCCTTTGGCAGCGTCGCGGCGCGGCTTTGAGGCAAGAGGCCGAGCGCGCCTGAGGGACGTGCCGTGGACGTGTCGTGGACATGCCCTGGCAGGGCGCTCAAGGAAGCGGATCTCCGCCGTCGAAGAGGTCGCTCGAGCCGAGAGCGACGCCCGGCCCGCTGTTGAAGAGGGCGAGGAGGGCCTCGTGCGCGAGGGAGATCGACTCGGCCGAGGGGACGGCCGCGCTCCCGCTGGCCGAGGGCTGGGTTGGCGGCGGGCCTCGTCTCTCTCGCGGCTGGTCCACCAGCCGAGAGAGCACGCTGCGCACAAACTCGACCCGAGGCAGCAGCCCGCGCGCCCTCAGCAGCGCATGCTCGCCGACGGTGTTGCCCATGACAGCCGCGCGGTAGTATGCCTCGGCCCTCCCCTCCTCCGCCCTCCCCTCCTCCGCCCTCCCCTCCTCCGCCCCTCCCTCCGCCAGCAGCACGTCGCGGGACTGGAGGTGCGCTGGGATCCGAATCGGCACGCGGCCCCACCAGCGGTCGCCAAACCGGCCGAGGCGGCGGTACTTCTCCCTCCAGTTCTCCAGCCCGCAGCTGCAGTAGTGCAGGACCGTCGGCCCGTCCGCCGCGTCCAGCTGCGCCGCGCACGCCACCGTCAGCGGGGCGCGCCACCCTGTCCCGTCCGGGACGAGGAACTTGTGTACGTCGTATGGCACCGGCCACGCCTCCGCGCGCCTTCCCGGGAGGCGGACCGCGCTCTTGCCAGACACGTAGGCGATGAAGTACGAGGCCGGCGCCGCGCCGCCGTGCGCCTTGCGGCGAGCGGCGGCGACGCGGCGCCAGAGAGCGTCGAGCGAGGCGCTGGAGGGCGGGGCGGAGGGGCCTGCAGGACAGGCCATGGACGAGTCACGGACTTGCACATCACTCGGGAGGCGGGAGAGGGCCGGGGAGGGAGGGAGGGGAGGGAGGGAGGCGCCTCCGGGGGAGGCGTCGGCGACGAGGGCGGCGTTGAGCTTGAAGAGCGACACCTCGCGGGACCAGTCGCTCACGTGCAGCTAACCCTAACCCTAACCCTGACCCTAACCCTAACCCTAACCCTAACCCTAACCCTAACCCTAACCCAACCCTAACCCTAACCCTAACCCTAACCCTAACCTCGCGGAACCAGTCGCTCACGTGCAGCGCCTCGGGCGCCGCCTCGAGGTTGGAGAAGAAGACCTGCAGAGGCGACAAGCATGGGCTGATGAGCGACTGAAGGTTGAACTCCTCGAGGCTCGAGAAGGCGACCTGCTCTGTCGCGGCAGGCAGGGAGCCGAAGAAGTCGACGGGGTGCAGCCGGCACGGCAGGAAGGCCTGTAGGAAGGTTCCGAGAAGGCTCATGGAAGGTTCCCACGCCTCAGCCAAGGCACTCCGCAGGAAGGCCTCGTCGATGTCGATGTGCAGCAGCCAGTCGAGGCCCTCCGCGCTCGCACGCACGACGGCGTGCTCGACGCACAGCGACTGTCTGCTCTGCACCTCCGTCTCCCACCACCGCGCCGCGTCCTCAAAGACGGACTGCTCGCTGCGCCGCGCCACCATTGCACTCGTGCGGAGCAAGCGTTCCCAAAAGGCGGCGTCGCAGCGCGTCACCACCACGCCGTCGCCACCATCGGGCAGAGCCAGCGACTGCCAGTACTCGTCTGACGCGTCGTCGAGGTAGAGAAAGACACGCTCGAAGCCGATGGCACGGTGGTAGGCGAGGTGCGAGCGGACGGCAGACGCAGGCGCACCGGCGCACATGGTCACCACGCCGAGACGTGCACTCAGGCGCGGCGTGGGCAGGTCGTCAGCTGAGGCGAGAGGCGGCGACCACGAGGAGAGCGCTGGGCCGGGCTCGACTGTCACCGCGACTGGCTCGGGCTGCGGAGAGTGCTCGGCTTGGCCTGGGCCTCGCGTGCAGCCGCTACGCCGCCGGTGCGAGCGGATGCGCCAGTCGCCTCGGCCGGCGCGGCGAGAGGAGGTGGAGCAAGCATCGGGAGCTGAGCTTGCTGGCATCGCGGCGGCAGCCCGAAGCGGGACCGCCCAGGCTGCGGGCAAGCTGAGCGGTAGCCCCGCGAGCACCTTGGGTACTTTGGCCAGAAATGGCGGATTTCAAGGGTTCGAGCTCCCTGTCCCTCGCGTCGCCGCGGGTGTCCTCGTGCGCCGGTCGCAACTCATGACGTGTCGAGACCGCCCTCTCGCCGTCCATCGACGACCGGGACAGGTCCGCTGGACGAAGTCATGGCTCCTCATGTGCGCGCAACGCCCAACCCCTGCCCGCGAGACGCCAAACAGCCCTGTTGTGCACCATAATGCCGAGGGCCGACGCACCCAGCGGCGTGTCCCCCAGCTCGACCACCTCACCGGAAGGCCTCTCGCGTGCACTCGTAAATCAGGTCGCCGCGCAAGTTCGATGCCAGCTCACCAAGCGCTGCGGGCGAGTTGCGCATCCGACTCGACACGACCTACCTCGAGCTACCACGGCCGACGCTCGGCTCTGTGCGGCGCTCCTACGAGGACATAAACGCGCTCGCGCTCCTGGTGTCGGAGCGCCATCCCGACGCCGTCAGGTGATGCGCCACCACCTCCACTCCCAGCGCGTGCGCACAATGCAATGCGCGTGCGCGCGCAATAGATTGAGTGATACGGCCCCTCTCGCCCTCGTGCGCAGGCCCAAGCACGCGCACTGGACGATCACGCCCGCGGCGGCCGCCGACGCTGATGTCGACATTCTCTCCGTCCAGAAGACGCAGCAGTGGGAGACTCCTCCCCAGGTCTGGGAGTACGTGTCCGCTCGATGGGCGGTGGACTTTGACGCGTGCGCGTCGCCGATCAATGCGCTCGCGCCGCGGTACTCCACAGTGGACGACGACTTCCTTGCGCGCGAGGACTTAAAGGACATCACCATCTACTGCAACCCGCCGTACGCGCTCGACCGGTACGGCACCGGAAGCTGCGCCGCCATCGAGCCGTTTGTGCGCAGACTGGTCGAGCTGGCGAGCACGCGAGGCTGCACGTGCATCGCGCTCGTCCCGGTGCTCTCGCACCAGTTGTGGTTTCACACCTGCGTTACGGGCGCGGCGAGTGGCGGGCGCGCGGCTCATGAGATCCATTGGGTGCAGGGGCTGCTCAAATGGAACAACCCGTTCCATGAGAGGGAGCCCGCGTCGCCCTACATCTATCCGTTTGCACTCTGTGTGTGGCGGCCGGGGGCGCCGCCGGATCGTGCGCACGAGGTGGTCGCTTCACTCCCACGGCCGAGTGATGACGTGAGCCGCTCCTTCCACTTCCGGCGGTGCCGGCGGCGTGGTTGCGGGAAGGTGCGGCTCCTCCCCCGCCACGTGGACCTCCTGCGCGCGTGAGCGCGCGTGCGTTTTCTTGTGCGCAAGTGGGCGACTCGCAGTATGGCTCGTGCGACGCGCATGAGTACGTTATGCATTTTACTTGATGTGTGAGACAGAATGATATGTCATGCGCAGTAGTACATTATACTCGCGTATAATGCCGCGTCGGGCGTCGGCTCCCCAACCAACCTGCTGACGGTAGACGGAACTTAGAACCTCGTCCGGTCTCGGTACTCCGATTTCGTTCACGAACGTATCGCGAGTGTTCAACAGGAATAACATGTAAGGCTCATGAGGCCGCCAGGAGGCACGCCACGAGCGCTGCTTTGACGCCGGTGGTGGCTCGCACTCGCTCCTCAGCGCGGCGACCCGCATGGCCTTGTACCGCTACCACTCTTAACCATCGGGATACTCCGCGCGCACCCTCCGCTCCACTCCTCGCTCGCCCTCGTAGTACAGCACCATGCCGTCGGCAAACTCAGCGCGCACCATCCGCTCCGCATCTTGCTCGCCCTCATAGTGCACCACGCCGTCGGCAAGCTCTTTGCGCACCAGCCGCTCCGCATCTCGCTCGCCCTCGTAGTACCACTCTTCGCCGTCGGGATACTCCGCGCGCACCCTCCGCTCCGCTCCTCGCTCGCCCTCGTAGTACAGCACCATGCCGTCGGCAAACTCAGCGCGCACCATCCGCTCCGCATCTCCCTCGCCCTCGTAGTGCTGCACCATGCCGTTGGCAAACTCGGCGCGCACACACCGCTCCGCACCTTGCTCGCCCTCGTAGTGCTCCACCTCGCCATCAGCGGCACGCACCGCGCGCACCCTCCTCTCCGCACCCCGCGCGCCCTCGAAGTGCAACATATCCCCCGTCTTCCCCCTAAACCGCAGCTTTGCGCCACTCTCTTCGCCGCGCCGCAAATGCCAGAACTCGCTGCGGCTGTCACCAGCACCCTCCACTTCCGATGAGAGGCAGAGCGCCGGGCTCACCCTCGCAATCCATCGCCACCACGGCTCGAGTTGGGAGAAGGGGTGCGGACCCGAGGACCGCCAGCCACCATCGGTGCGCTCATGAGACCACTCGCCACCACGGCTCGAGCTGGGAGAAGGGGTGCGGACCCGAGGACCGCCAGCCACCATCGGTGCGCTCATGAGACCACTCGCCACCACGGCTCGAGTTGGGAGAAGGGGTGCGGACCCGAGGACCGCCAGCCACCGTCGGTGCGCTCATGAGACCACTCGCCACCACGGCTCGAGTTGGGAGAAGGGGTGCGGACCCGAGGACCGCCAGCCACCAGCAGTGCGCTCATGAGACCACTCGCCACTTCTACGGCTCGAGCCCGGAGAAAGGGTGGCTAGCCACCGCGAGGAACAGGTGAGCTGATGCGAGCCGCTCGCCGCCGCCGAGGCGCGAGACGGAGAGGGGTGCGGACCCGAAGACCGCTAGCGCCGTCATTGCGCACTAGTGACTCCACTACAGTCGCTCTCGTGCGCTCCTGTCGCTCTCGTGCGCTCAGGGGAAGGATGAAATTTGTACACATCATGTAAACGAATGATCTCGATCCCTCCACACGGGACTCAATGGATACGAGCTCTCTCGATCCTAACCCACTTCAATACTTACTCGATGGAGGTTCAGCGGGTTAGGGTCCCCGTCGGTACACCAACCCGACCGGCGCGGGACCCTATCGGAGCCCCGCGTTCCTCATATCCATTGAGCCCCACGTTGTGGACGGCGAGCTCCCTACTACTGATCACCCCAGCATGACGGGGATGCATGAATGGAGGATGGGAAGAATGAGCGGTAGCCCCGCGAGGTACGAGCGGGGCGGTAGCCTTTCTTCACACCGGAGTACTGGTGCATCCAGCCCTCACACACAGAGTCTGGCTCTGCTGTGAAAACGAAAGAGGACGTACGCGCCTACTTTCAAGACAACGCGTTCCTACGACGTGCCTATGGCTGAGCCGCCCAATGGCGCTCGCCCACTTGCCTACCACAGCCGAGCGCCTCGCGCCCGGCTCTGGGCCCCGCGACAACGCTTCGCGCACCCACCGACCTTCCCCTTCTCTGCCACCATGCAGGGCGTGAGGGCGATGGCGTCAAACCTCGCCTGTTCACATCTATCATTCACAGGTCGCTCACAGAGCACCTGTCGCGTGTGTCGCCCCCCCGCGCTCTGCGCTCGCTGGGCGCCCATCGCAGTCGATCGAGGGCGGGGGCACGCCCACGATAATGACCCAATGACGATCGGCCCCCCGCGCTAGCCGCTCGCTGGGTGCCTCTCGCCGACGATCGAGGGCGTGGCACGCCCACGACAGCAACTCAATGATAGCGTCGGAGCCTTGCCTATTCACTCGCACCCTCCCGAGTGCCCTCGGGGCGCACTGCATCGCTCGCGACGTGCCGCCGTGTGGCGCGCGACGCAAACCAGCGACAGTTGCTCGGGTCGATCGAGCGCGATGCTTGGCTCCGCCGCGCTGAGCGACCTCTCGGCGCGCCACACATGCGCTCGCCGCCTTCGCGAGGCGCCCTGCGCCTCCTCTACACGCACCGCACGCCTTCGCGCCGCGTGCCTTTGGCGAGAAGGCCGCCTGCAGCCGCAGCCGCCTCTCCGCCTCTCACACGAGCATGCCTCATCTCGGCATACTCAGAGATTCATAGCGGCCGCCCGCTCGAGCGCGCCCCGCGCCTCGCTAGGGCTCACCGTGCCGCTGCAGCGCGCCCCTCAGCCGCACAGGCACCCTCCCGAGTGCCCTCGGGGCGCTTCATCGCCCGCGACGCGCCGCCGTGTGGCGCGCGACGCGAACCAGAGATAGCTACTCGAGTCGATCGAGCACGACGCTCTACTTCGCTGC